CATGGTATCAAGAGATGTTGCTGGGGAGCTGACATTGTGGCACAAAGGATAAAGTCGTTGCCTGTGATGGGCATCCCATGTAGGTACTGGTTTATGTCCTGGATGCATCACTCCTGATCCATTCCTTACAAATGGCCTGGGAAAAGCAGAAGATGGCCCAAGTGTTTGGGCCCCTACAACCCTTGTGAGAGACACAGATGAAGCAATCATCTGGGGAGTGAATCAGCAGATGGAAGATCTGTGTCTCCCTTTCTCTCTATGACTATTTTAAATAATTAAATAATCTGTCCTTAGGCCTGTAGGTCATACCAGAAATCTTTAAGCCTAAAATGTCTTTAAGATATTTCTAAAAATATCTAGACATGTCAAAAAGGCTACATGTCACTGGCATTTGCTTTCTTTATCTAATCAGTAGTGGTTTATAGTTAATTCAACTTGAGAATAAATTGATACCTGAACAGTCTCACTCCTGATAATGAGAGACTTTTTTTAAACTTTTATTTAAAATAAATTTTGAAAGTAAAACTTTTGGATTATAGCAGTTTTGCCCCCCATAACCTCCCTCCCACTCACAAATCATCCCATTTCCTGTTCCCTCTCCCATCCAATTCTTCATCAAGATTCATTTTCAGCCGGCACCATGGCTGAATAGGCTATCCTCCACCTGCAATGCTGGCACCCCAGTTTCTAGTCCTGGTCGGGAGCCGGAATCTGTCCCAGTCATCCTCTTCCTGTCCAGCTCTCTGCTATGGTCCAGGAGTGCAGTGGAGGATGGCCCAAGTGCTTGGGCCCTGCACCCACATGGGAGACCAGGAGAAGCACGTGGCTCCTGGTTGGATTGGCATGGTGCGCCAGCCGCAGAGTGCTGGCTGCAGCAGCCGGGGGTGAAACAATGGAAAAGGAAGACCTTTCTCTCTATCTCTCTCACTGTCCACTCTGCCTGTAAAAAAAAAAAGATTCATTTCAATTATCTTTATATACAGAAGATCAACTTGGTATATACTAAGTAAAGATTTCAACAGACTGCAGCCACACAGACACACAATATAAAGTACTGTTTCAGTAGTAATTTTACCGTTAATTCGCACAGTACAACAAATTAAGGACAGAGGTCCTACATGCGAAGCAAGTATACAAGTTGATCTTCTGTATATAAAGATAATTGAAAATGAATCTTGATGAGGAATTGGATGGGAGGGAGTAGGAGATGGGATGGTTTGCAAGTGGGAGGGTGGTTATGGGGGAAAAACCCACTATAATCCAAAAGTTGTACTTTCAAAAATTATATTTATTAAATAAAATTTTTAAAAAGTGACGTTTCTCAATTTCTTACAGTCTGTGTTGTCAAATGAGCCTTCTTTGAAAATATTTCTTCTCTCCTCCTGTGAGAGCGATGTTAAAATATAACATAAGGACCGGTATCATGGTGTAACAAATAAAAACACTGCCTGCAATCCCAGTATCCTATATATGCATTGGTTCATGTCTTGGCTGCTCCACTTCTGATCCAGCTTGCTGCTAATGGCCTACAAAAACTAGTAGAAGGTGGCAAAAGTGTTTGGGCTCCTCCCACCCATGTGGGAGACTCAGATGTAGATCCTGGATCCTAGCTTGTAATTGGTTCAGCCCTGACCTTTGCTACCACTGAAGAGTGAATCAGTAGATGGAAGATACTATCTCTCTCTCACTCTCTCATTCTCTCTCCTCTTTCCTCCTCTAACCCTTTCTCCCTCTCTGTAACTCTTACTTTCAAATAAATAATTAAATCATTTAAATATATATATATTAAATATATATTTTGTTTTTATTGCCTGTGCTTCTTGGGTCTTATCATGAAGTCTTTGTCAATACCAATGTCTTGCAGTGTTTCTATATATATATATATATATATATATATATATATATAATATGTATATTTAATATATATATTATATATATTAAATATATTAAATATATTATTATTATATAATATTAAATATATATATTATATTATATTATCTATATAATTATATATATTATAATATATAATATATAATTATATATAATATATAATATATAATTATATATAATTATATATAATATATATAATATAATATAATAATATTATATAATATTATTTTATATATTATATTATATTATATTATATTTTTATATTAATTATAATTATATATTAAATATTATTATATATTTATATATAATATGACATTTTAAATTTACTTTATAATCATAGCTTAATGTTCCACTGAATAAAGGGATGAACAAATTAAAGTAGAAAGAACAATGTTCAAAAGGCATACAGAAAATTCTTGTAAATAATAAAATGCCAAGACATAAATTTCCAACATATATATTTTAGCTCTGTACTATATATATTAGCTACCACAAATCAGCAAAAATGTGCTATTATCTTTTGAGTCTGGCTTACTTCACTGAGCATTATGGTGTCAAATGACATCCACTTTGTGGCAAAAGATAGGATTTCAGTCTTTTTATGGATGAGTAGCCATCCTTCTGTATACGAACATTTTCTTTATCCAGTCATCTGTTGATGGACACTGGGGTAGATTCCATATCTTATGTATTGTAAATTATATATATTAAATATATATAATATATTTAATATTATATAATATATTTATATTTATAATATAAATATAATATAATATAATATAATATATATATATAATATATAATATATATAATATTATATATATAATATATGGCTTAGTAGTTAAGACACTGGTTAAGAGGTTATACCCCATATCAGAATGCTTCAGTTTGAGTCTTCTCTAACTCCTGACTGCAATTTCTTGCTAATGTAGACCATGGGATTAATCCATCATCACTCAAGTAACTGGATTCTTACCACCTACAGAACAGACCTGGATTCAGTTTCTAGCTCCTGGTTTTAACCTCTCACTTGGCTACTGAAGCCATGTAGGAGGTGAATCAGGAGATGGGAGTTCTCTGTTTCTTTCTTTGTCTCCCGGTTAAACAAATATTTTTAAATTAAAAAGAATGTAACATATTCTACCTAGAAACCTTTTTTAATGCATAAAATTTCACACATTTCATAAGTACAAATTTAGGAACATTGTGGTCTTTCCCACCCTACTCTCCCTCCCAACTGCACTCCCACCCTTCTTCCTCCTCCCTCTCCTATTCCCATTCTTATTTTTTACAAAGATCTATTCAGTTAACTTTACACACATAAGATTAATTCTGCACGAGTTCAAGAAACTCAACAAGAGCAAAAGAAACAAAACAGCTCAATAAACAATATTAAAAAAACGTGTTCAACAGTTGAGATAAGGGCTGTTCAAAATCATAGCCTATCACAGTGTCATTTCACTTCTGTAGATTACCTGTTAGGTGCTCTATTAGTTACCACAGATCAGGGAGATCTTATCAATTGTGAACTGAGCTGTAATGAACATGCAGTTACAGAAAACATTTTCATATGCTGATTTCATTTTCTTTGGGTAAATTCCTAGGAGCAAGATGACTGGGTCATATGGTAGGTCTTGTTCAGATTTCTGAAGTATCTCCATACTGTATTCCAAAGTGTCTGTACCAGATTACATTCCCACTAACAGTGGATTAGGGTACCTTTTCCCCACATGCTTGCCAGCATTTGTTTTTTGTTGATTTCTGTATGAGATTCATTCTAACTGGGTTGTGGTGAAAATTTATTGTGGTTTTGATTTGCATTTCCCTGATGGCTTGTGATCCTGAGAATTTTTTCATGTGTCTATTGGCCATTTTAATTTCCTCTTTTAAAAATGCCTGTTTAAGTCATTTGCACATTTCTTAACTGGATTGTTTTGTTGTAGTCAAGTTTATTGAGCTCTTTATAGATTCTGGATGTTAATCCTTTATAATTTTCCTAGTTTGCAAATAATTTCTCCCATTCTGTCAATGGCCTCTTTACTTTGTTTAGTGTTTCCTTTGCAGTGCACAGCTTCTCAACTTGATGTAATCCCATTTGTCAGTTTGGGCTTTGATTGTGTGTGCTTCTAGGGCCTTTTCCAAGAAGTGTTTCCCTAGGCCAATGTCTTGCAGAGTTTCTCCAATGTTCCTTAGTAATTTGATAGTCCTCTAGGTTTAGGACATTGATCCATTTTGAAGGATTTTGTGTAGATGTAGGGTAGGGGTCTTATTTCTTACTTCTGCATGTAGAGACCCAGTAGTCCCAAAACATTTGCTTTAGAGACTGACCTTGCTGCAGGGATTGATTTTAGCTCCTTTGTCAAATTTAAGTTGGTTGGAGGCCCATGGATTATTTAGGTGTTTCTATTCTGTTCCATTGGTCTAATGTTTTACCTCTTTTTTTCTTTTTCATTTTTGTCAGTACCAGACTTTTGATTATAACTGCACTGTAGTATGTCTTGAAAACAAAAGCTTCCTACAAGCCAAGGGCAGCTGAGGGCCTGGGTGGATCAGAGTGCGGAGCACCCCAGGCAGTGCGCCCACACCCACGCCCTCACCAGCCGAGGCCCAGCATCCTGCGCCAGGTGTGGCGCCATTCAGAAAAGTATCATGTAGTCCTCGGCCACCAGGAGCTCCAGGTTGCTATTGACTTAGCTGCGTGGGGCAGCGGGTCGTGTTCAGGGTGGCCGCGCCCAGCCCGGGCCTCCCCCGTGGGCCTCAAGGATCGGGGTCCCCCCTCGGGCGAGGCGTGGGGCTTGAAGGAGAGGGCCGCGGGCTCTGGGGAGGGGCGGGGGTCTCTGGAAGGGTCGGGGGCTCTGGTGGAGGGGGCCCACGGGCTCTGTGGAGGGTGCCTCAGGCTCTGGGGAGGGTCAGGGGGCTCTGGGAAGGGTCGGGGGATCTGGGGCAGGGGTCGTGTTCCAGCCCCTTGGGCCCCTCTGGGCGGGCCTTGGGGGTGGACATGACCACCCAGCTCAGCACACCGGGTACCTGGGGGTCCCCGCCCCACTGGCCGCCTGTGCTGGGTGGAACTCTGGGGGTCCAGGAGTGAGAGTGGCAATGATGGACAACTGTCACTCATCCTCCCCGTGAAACTGTGACCTGGGGCCGGGGACTGAGCCTGTCCGGGCGGCTGCGGGTGTGGATGTGGTGGGCGCCCGGCCTGTGGCTGCGGCGTGGGAGGCGGTGACGGTGTGACCGGCGTGTGGTGGTGGTGGTGGTGACAGACGTGTGATGGGGATCAGGGTGGTAGTGTTGGTGCTCACGGTAGTGTTGGTGGTGATGATGAAGGTGATGGTAGTGTTGGTGATGGACATGTGTGGTGGAGACAGCAGCTGCCGAGACAGGGGTCCAGGGGAAGGCCCAGGCTTGGTGAGTGGGGCCAGCAGGGCAGAGAGCCTGGGTGAGCAGCCACGCCCCGCGCCTGCCCTGCCCCGCCCACCCCGCCCCGCCGCCTGCTCACAGGACAGGTTCTCCATGACACAGTGGTAGTCAGCACAGCTGCTGTTGGGGAGGAAGCAGGAGGTGAAGACGATGATGGCGTTGAGGCCCTCGCCGTGGTTGCCTGGGGAGAGGCGGCCGAGGGCGGCCGTCTCAGAGCTCGGAGCCATGCAGGCTCCACCCTCCGCTGTGGTGGGGCACGGAGGGGCTGCCAGACTGGCAGGGGGGCCAACCTCCAACCTCCGGGGTGACCACGGGTACAGGGGGTGGTCCGACCTCTGGGGTGACCACAGGTATGGGGGGGTCCGACCTCCAGGGTGACCACGGGTACAGGAGGGGTGACCTCCGGGATGACCATGGGTACAGGGGTCCGACCTCCGAGGTGACCATGGGTACAGGGGTCCGACCTCCGGGGTGACCACGGGTACAGGGGTCCGACCTCTGGGGTGACCACGGGTACGGGGGTGGGTCGACCTTTGGGGTGACCACAGGTATGGGGGGATCCGACCTCCGAGGTGACTATGGGTACAGGGGTCAACCTCCGTGGGTGAGCACAGGTACCCGGGGACGTCACCTCCGTGCGTGACCACCTTCATGTGCAGCTGGATCATGTGCAGGTCGATGCGGTGCTCCTGCTCCCCGATGATGACTGTGAGCCACAGGCGCCCATTGGCCGCATCGCTGTCCTCTGCCACGCCGTCCCCAAACAGGTCCGCGCTGTCCCCAGGCATGTTCTTGCCGGGGGCCACCGGGGTGTCATCTGGAAGCAGCACCCCTGGGCTGGATGCGCTGGCCTCTCGCGGCTGCCTTCCTTCTCCCGACCTGGCCGCCTGTGCCCTGACAGGACCTGGCTCAAGTGCCAACTCCTCCAGAAAGCCTTCCGAGATTGCGCCTCCCGGACATTTGACTCCTAACACTTCCTGGGTCTCTTGCCCCTTAACTGACGCGAGCAGCCAGAGGGCCTGGGGGTTCATGGTGTGCTACTCCGTATCCCCCACCCCTGGGCAGAGCCACCTTGCTGACAGCAGTGGGGGAACTGGGGTCCACAGCTGTGCCATGGGAGTCAGACCCAGCTCCCTTCCGGTCACTCCCCAGACCTGCCATGCTAGGGCGGGAGCGCCATCCGGGCCCCCTGGATCTGCCGCACTGGGGCGCGCAAGCGCCATCAGGGTCTTCCGGTGCTGGCCGGGAGCACCCGGGCCACCCATGCAGGCTGAGTCCAGAGCAGAGCTGGGGAGGGACCCAGGACCTGATGGGGGAAGCGGGAGCCCTCCTGGCCTCCCCTGCCCTGGAGTCCCGCACACAGCGCTCACGCCTCCGGCTCTCAGGCTCTCGGGCTCTTGGGCTCTGCTCGGCCGTTGAGCGCTGGGCGCCGTCGCTGGGGGCCGCGTCCAGTGGGGACCTCGGGACCCATGTTTGGTGAGGAGATTGAGACAGGGGCATCCTGGGTCAGACTGGATTCGGATCCAGCTCCCTGCCCATGCGCTCCCTGGGGGCAGCGGTGAGGGCTCAAGTGCCGGGGGCCCTGCACCTGCGTGGGAGACCCAGATGGAGCTCCTGCTCCTGGCTCCAGCCTGGCCCAGCGCCGACTGTTGTGGCCATGTGGGGAGTGACCCAGCGGATGGGAGCGTGCTTGCTCGCTCTCTCTCTCTCTGACTTTGCGTTTCAAATAAATCAGAAAAGCAAATGAAAACCTAGGAAGAGTGCGATTGTCAGAGAGGATCTGTTTACTGCTCTCCGAAATCCTGGAGGGAAGTCCCTCCTGCTTCCTCCCTGGGCCCCGCCCCCACCTGCCGCTCCTTGCTGGCCGTGACCGTGAGATTGTCCCACACGCGTGGACATCAGACCTGGCCGATCCTGCTCCGCGTGTCCCGCCAGAGCCTCACTGTGGCCATTGGGGTTGTGAGACCTGCGCCTGCCTCCCTCTCCCCTAGCTCCTGCTCGGCCACTCCACCCCTCACCACCCCCCAGGCCTGTGCCGGGCATCCTTTCCAAGGACCCCACTCGGTTACCCTGGCCAGAGCTTCCACCTCCCCGGCAGTGTGGACAAGGGGCCGGGTCGTCCTGGGCTCCCTAGGATTGGAGCAGCGTCCCTGCCCCCTGCTCCGTGCCAGCCACACCCACATTCTGCCCTGCCCTCGGTGTCATGGCTGCCCACGCCTGTGGGCAGAGCCGTGTCACCTCCCGCCACGTCCCCGCTGTATCCCCCCGCGTCCCCAGCGCCCAGAGCAAGCGCTCGAAAAGCCGGGCAGGCCGCGGGCCGTGGTCCCCTTCGAGGATCTTGGGGAAGACCCGCGCGGTGGCGACAGGTGCAGGTGCGCATGAACCCCGCGCCATTCCGTGGCCCCCGCGGACCCCGCACCCCACGCCCGTGGCCAAGACTGGGACAGCCCCGTGGCCCTTACCTTCCCACTCCAGCTCATTGCCGTTGCCCAGGAACTCGAGCGAGTCCATCTCGTCGGGGGTCTCAATGTTGTCCACGTTCATGTCCAGGTTGTCGGCGTGTCCAGGAAGTCGTTGGACAGCGGGGAGCCCTCGCTTTGGTCAGCGAGATGCTGATCTCCGGGGCCACCAGGGTCTTGCATTTCTCTGGTAGGGTCGGTTGAAGTTCAGTGCACCGGGAGGGGCTGGGGAGAGGCCGACAGAACCTGTGGCCCCTCGCGCTCCCCCCACCCCACTGCCCTGCCTGGCAGAGGAGGCGGAGTGGCAGGGCCGGGGTGGGGCAGCCGTGGCCATCCCCTGGCGCCTGCGGGGCAGTGGGTGGGCACTGGCTGCAGCAGTGAAGGCTCCGCGGGTCCCGGCTCTGCATCCAGCCAGCCCCAGCTAGCCCCCATGCTTGCGCACCCTGGGCCCCTGCACCACCCCTGTGACTCCATGGAGCTCCTGGCTCCCGGCTTCAGCCTGGCCCAGCCCTGGCCGTCTGGTGTCTGGGGAGTGACCTAGCAGGCAGGGGTCTCTGTCTCTGACTTTGCCTGTCTCCCATTTAAATAAATACATAGAAAAATGTAAGAGGTGCGTCCTGGCAGAAAATGGTCAGGTCATCATTCTGTGCATGTGCTCAGCACTGTGGACTCAGGAGTGGCCTGGTAGGGAGGTTACCGTCCTGCCCGGAGGGCACCTGAGTCCCAGACATTGCCTGGCTGAGACAGGCAGGAGGCAGAGCCCCCCTCTCAGACGGGGCTCAGTGGGAAGTGGGATGGGCTTGGGGGGCTGTGTGTGTGTCACGCCAGCATCACTCCTCTCCTTGTAGGGGCCAAGGGAGGGCCCAGCAGTGACCCTGACACTGAGGGCTCATCCCTGCCTGGGAGGCACTGACCCCTCAGAGTGGCCATATGGCAGTGAGGACAGATTGGAGCCAGAAGGTCACCCCCAAGCCTCACACGAAAGGGACCCGCCCTGAAAAGTAAAACCCAATGCATCTGCCCCCCCCCAGGCTTTGGAGTTATGGGTGTGTGTGTGTGGGGGGGTGTTGCTTCCCTCTGCATGGAGCTGCCTGCCCAGGAGCAGTAACTCCGGTTTCTTGGTCCCTGGCTGGAGAGGAATTCTAGCCCAGGATAATCCAACCCGAGTCTTGCGCCCTTGATTCCGATGGGATTTGGGGGCCCTGAACTTGATGCCTGAGTGACTGCGGGCAGATGGTGCCTGTACACCTGCCCAGGGCAGGGGCTGCCATGGGCCCCCTCTTTGCGGCAGCCACACCCCCACATCATGAGGCTGGGGCAAGTCCTGAAGGGCAGCAGGGAGGGGCTCCCCTGTGGGCATCGCCGTGGCCATCTGGGGACTGAACCAGCAGTGGGGGTTCCTGTCTTGGCTGCTCAAATCTAATAAAGTCTTGAAAATGTTTTAAAGATTATTTGGGTGCAAAACGGCCTGCAGCCCACACACTTTCCCAGCAAGCACTGTCCTCGCCCTGCGGGGGGGGCTGTTGTGGGGGTGCGCGTGGGTGTGGAGGCCCAGGGAGAGGCCACCTGCAAGCCCTGCCCCGGGGGTTCGGGCCTTTCTCTCCTGGGCCCTCGGCTGATTAAAGGAAGCCCAGGCATGTTCTAAGTCCACGGATTAAAATCCTTAAAGTTGTATTCATTCACTTACCTACCTTATCTTTCTGCAAGGCAGAGTGACAGAGGGGTCTTTCACACACTGGTTCACTCCAGTGCCTGTAGCCAGGGCTGGGCCAGGCTAAGGCCGGGAGCTTGGAGCTCCATCCGGGTCTCCTGTGCGGGTGTGCAGGGGCACCCGGCACTTGAACTGTCACCGCTGCCTCGCAGGGTGTGGACTGGCAGGGAGCTTGGCAACAGCAGTGAGAGCCCGGCACTGGACCCAAGGGCTCCACTGTGGGACAGGGGAGCAGCCTGTGGGGTGGGGGCGTGGCCTGGGCCGGGGTCGTGGCCTATGGGTCAGGGGCATGGCCTGTGGGCTGGGGAGCGGCCTTTGGGCTGAGTGCCAGCCCCGTGTCATCTCTTTGACCCTTACAAGCTGACTTCCTGTGATTCGCAGCTGAGGAACGGGCAGAGGCACAGACAGGCTGAGTAACTGGCTCAAGCACACGCAGCCACGTCCCCGCGGACCCTCCCCCGCAGGCCCCAGAGCTGGGCAGCCCCCTTCCTTCAGGGCCTCTGGGATCTGCTGGCCCTAGTCCCGCAGAGCCATGCCTGGCACGCGCAGAAACTTAAAGGCCATGTCCGCTGCCCCGCTGCGGAGCGACTCTGTCTCTGTGTTTTCGCGGAGCAGCCTGCACCCTCGGCTGGGGCCGGGCAGTGCGCCGGAACGTCCAGCCAGAAGAGGGTGGTGTGGCCAGGCGGGGTCCGGCAGAGGGGGTTCAGACAAAACAAGAACAGAGTGCACTTAGCATTGGGCCCGAGTGCCTCTCTGCTTGGGGCAGAGCACAGGGAGCCCGCGCACAGGCTGGGAGTCGCAAATGCGCCCAACCTTGGGAGCTTTGGCCCAGACAAAGCCAGGCTGCTCAGGCCCTTGGGAATCTAAGTGGAACCTCTGCACTGGGCCTGCAGCCTTGGTTCTTGGAGTTTTGTGTTCTCTTAGCTCATGCTCAGTGTGAGAGGCAGAGCTCGAATCCACTGGGTCACCCCCGGTGCCTGGGAAGGCTGAAGGAGCCGAAGCTCAGAGTTCTGTGTGGGCTCCCCGCGGGTGGCAGGGAGCCAGGGTGGGCATCGACTGGGAGCTGAGTCGGGGGATCCAGGGTGGGTGTCAGCTGGGAGCTGAGTCAGAGGGACCCAGGAAGCTGAGTCAGGGGGACCAAGGTGGCGTCAGCTGGGAGCTGAGTCGGGGAGGACCCAGGGTGGGGCGTCGGTCGGGAGCTGAGTCGGGGGACCCCAGGACTGGGACCTAGAATGCAGATGTCCTAGCAGGTGTTAGGGCCAGCACGGCGGTAGAGAGGAGGTTAAGCTGCCACCTGTCACCAACACCAGTTCACATCCTGGCTGCTCCATTTCCATTCCAGGCCCCTTCTAATGTGCCTGGGAAGGCAATGGAGGACAGCCTAAGTGCTGGGCTCTACCACGCACATGGGAGACCCGAACAGAGCTCCCAGCTCCTGGCTTTGGCCTGGCCCAGCCCTGGCCATTGCCGCCACTTGGGGAATGAACCAGCAGATGGAAGACCCTCTTTCCCTCTCTCTGCATAGCTGTGCCTTTCAAATAAATACACAAATCTTCAGGAGGAGAAAGAAAAGCAAGTGTCTTAACCGCTAAGCTGAGCACCCGCTGTCTCTGGGGTCTTTGTCTGTCAAGAGCAGGGACAAGTGTGTCAGAGCTGCGTCATTGTCAGCCATGGGGTCCACAGCCAAGCCGCCAGATAAACACAGGAGATGGGGGTGATGTCTGCGGGGAGTGGACGATGGCCCAACTTGGGCCCCTGCACCTGCATGGGAGACCCATATGGAGCTCCTGGCTTCAGATCAGCACAGTTCCGGTCATTGCAGTCAATTGGGGAGTGAACCAGAGGATGGAATTGCTCTCTCTCTCTCTGTCTCTCTGTAACTCTGCCTTTCAAATAAATAAAATCTTTTAAAAATTAAATAAATATAAAATCTGAAAAAAAAGAAAACTAATGCCTCTCACTTTGTTTTTGTTGCATATGATTGCTTTAGCTATTTGGAATCTCCTATATTTCCATATGATTTTCAGCATCGTTTTTTTCTACATCTGTGAAGAATGTCCTTGGTGTTTTGATTGGAATCACATTGAGACTATAAATTGCTTCTGGTAGTATGGACATTTGATGATATTTCTTCTTCCAATTCATGAAAAGGAAGAATTTTCCATTTTGAAATATCTTCTTCTGTTACTTTAATATTTTGTAATTTTCATCAAAGAGATCTTTACATCATTGGTTAAATTTATTCCAAGGTATTGATTCCTTTGTAGCTTTTGTGAATGGGATTGTTCTCAAAAGTTCTTTCTCAGCCATGGCATTGTCTGTGTATTCAAAAGATGTTGACATTTCTATGTTGATCTTATATCTTGCCACTTTACCAACTCTTTATTTGACAGGTAGAGTTATAGACAGTGAGAGAGAGACAGAGAGAAAGATCTTCTTTCCATTGATTCACTCTCCAAATGGTTACTACGGCCAGAGCTGTACCAATCCAAAGCCAGGAGCCAGGTGCTTTATTCCGGTTCCCATGAGGGTGTAGGAGCTCAAGCACTTGGGCCATCCTCCACTGTCCTCCAGGGCCACAGCAAAGAGCTAGGGTGGAAAAGGAACAACTGAGACTAGAACTGGCATCCATAGAGAACGCCAGCACCACAGGCAGAGGATTAGCCAATGGTACCAGCATTCCAAACTCTTTTGTAAAAAAGATTTATTCATTTATTTGAAAGTCAGAGTTACAAAGAGGTAGAGGTAGAGAGGAAGAGAAAGGTCTTTCATCCATTAGTTTATTCCCCAGATGGCTGCATGGCTAGAGCTATGCTGATCTGAAGTCAGGGCCAGGAGCCTCTTCCAAATCTCCCACACTGGTGCCGGGGCCCAAGGACTTGGGCCATCTTCTACTGCTTTTCTGGGACATAGCAGAGAGCTGGATCAGAAGTGGAGCAGCTAGGACTCAAACCAGTGCCCATATGGGATGGCAGCACTGCAGGCAGAGGCTTTAACCATTCTCCCACAGCACCCTCCCCTATCCAATGCTTTTGTGAGTTCTAGTAGTCTCTCATTGGAATCTATTGTATCCCCTATATATAAATCATCTGCATATAGGGATAGTTTCACTTCATCTTTCCAATTTGTATACATTTGATTTCATTTTCTTGCCTAATGGCTCTGGCTAAAAATTTCAAGACTATATTAAAGAGCAATGGTGTGATGTGGGCATCCTTGTCTGGTTCCAAGTCTTACTGAAATAATTCCAATTATTCTCCATTCAATAAGATGCTTCCTGTGGGTTTGTTACAAATTGTCTTGAATACGTTGAGGAATATTCCTTCTATACCCAATTTGCTTAAGGTTTTCATCTTGATTGGATGTTGTATTTTTATTGTATGTTGTATTTATTGGCTTCAATTTTGTTTATTTCTTCTTTAATAATTTTAATTATTTCTTTTCTCCTGCTAAGTTTGGGTTTGGTTATTGTTGTCATTCTAGGTCCTTGTGATGCATTGATAGGTCATTATTGTTGCCTTTCCAATTTCTTGCTGTAGGCACCAATTGCTCTAAATTTCTATGTTAACACTAATTTTGCTGTATCCCATAAGTTTTGGTATGTTGTATTGTTGTCTTCATTCATTCCCAGAGGTTTTTGTTGATTTCTGTTTTGATCTATTTTATTTACATTCAAAGCTTCTGTTGATAAATAAGGATTGACCTCCCATTTTTTCTAATCTAAATATTCATATATTTACTTTGAATTTCTTTGTACTTTTACTGGGTGGTTTTTCTACTTTCATATTCTTTCATAGTCCTATCATTTTGGGTTTCTGTTTGTAGCATCTTTTGTAGGCTGGATGAATGGTGAGAAATTCTTTCAGTTTCTCATGGTTATGGAAGGTCTTGTTTCACCTACATAATAAATGAGAGCTTTGCAAGATACAGTATTTTATGTTGATAGTTTCTTTCTCTTAAAATGTGGACTGTATTTTAACAGTTCTTGTCTTAACTGTTGAAGAAAAGTTCTTTTTTTGTCATTCATACTATTTGTTGAACTCCTTACTTAACATAGAGCTAATCATATGCATACAAAGTTAACAGAAAATAGATCTTAGTAAAAACATAAAGATGAGAATAGGGGAGGGAGGAGGAAAAGGGGTGGGAGAGTGGGTTAGAGGGCAGTACAGTGGGAAGAATAGCCATGTTTCTGAAGTTGTAATTATGAAATGTATGAAGCTCCTTTTCCTTAAATAAAAGGTTTCTGAAGAGGGGAGGAGAAGACGTGGAGTATACCTCACCATTCTCTCCTACCCTTTGAGTTTCTGATGAGAATTCAGCTGTAATACTTATTAGACATCCTCTAAAATTAATCTGGCATTTCTCTCATGCTTTAGACTATTTTCTTTGTTTTATTGTTGAATTTTAACTACAACATGTGTGGGGAAGAATTTTTCTGTTCATGTCTGTTAGTTCTATTTGCTTCCTGTACCTGAAT